AATGAATTATGTGTACATACACATGAGACTAGCATTTCGGCGTTGAGGAGCCCACCAGAATTTTTGGCTAACATATGCGTCATTCCGGTATTAGGCACACTTAACCTTTCCTTCATTGAGGAGCTCATTAATTGTATAATTTGACAAAACAGATACAGCAAAGCTGCATTTCAACTAGCAATATGAAGCCCATGAAGCTTAGCAAAATTTTTCCACTTGCCGCATTTTTCTACGGATGTTCTTCTGTTGGAAGATGTTTTTGTTCGATTAACTTATCTATAGCATCAACATCCGAAATTTTAGAGTATTAGATTAATCTTACGATCAAGTATGTGTTGTAAATGCGAATACAGCGGACAACAATATGTCGGAGAAACTCTGATTAAAGTCCGCACTTCGGAATGTGTTGTAAACCACATGTTATAGGTAGAAATCCGTCACATCTAGACGCAGTCGGAGAGCCGTCACAGGCCCGGAAAACACTGTACGCGCGTTTCATCCTTTCGGGAATCGTCAGCAGTGCGCATTCCATCGTACCCTGAGACGGCTCGAACCCGCAAATCGACTGTTGCCAGTCCGTGGTTGGGACCAGTGACCTACGGGGAGGGGACGGTGACGACCATCCTGAATTAGTTACTAGATGTGATATAGCGCCGCTCACTGCTGAAGTTTCCCGAAAGGATGAAACGCGCGTACACTGCTTTTCCGGGCCTGTGACGGCTGTCTGAGTGAGTCTAGATGTGACGAATTTCTACCCATGCAATTCAACTCCCCCTACTACTCCTCTGTATTCAGTACGCAGACCAAACTGCTTATAATGCCGTAAGTTAATTGGCGGCTTAACTTTGATAAGTTCGTCGCTTGGGGAGGAGGCTACGCTGTCCTCTGCATGGCAGTAACGTGTGAGTGGATAGTGAGCGGCACTATATCACTTCTAATAACCAATTCACGATGGTCGTTATCATCCCCCGTAGCTCACTGGTCCCAACCACGGACTGGTAACAGTCGAGTTGCGGGTTCGAGCCCTTCCAGGGTCCGATGGAATGCGCACTGCTGACGATTCCCGAAATGATGAAGCGCGTGTATAGTGCTTTTCCGGGTTTCCGACGGCTGTCTGACTGAGTCTAGATGTGACGAATTCCTATATATTCCATTTAACTCCCCCTACTACCCATCTATGACCACAAGTTAACCTACTGATCGGATTCAAAAGTATTCCAAGATGTTGAAATTCCAAACATTGTGCTTCCAATAATATGCAGAACTAAATGCTGGGTGGGTTGCATAAACTAGGGGACTTATCTAGGAATCTCATTTGTCCATCGCAGAATACGATGCCTTCCAAGTACAGAAAGCAATGCAGCGCTGTACTCCTTTGGCGTTCGGTAAACTCGCGCAATTCATCTCTTTGCCCTCATGACTTATGAAGCCTTAGCGTTTGAAATAAAAGCACAACTGAGGGATGACAATTGGGAACGTATCCTGCCTGCCGAGTACCAGGCATAAGGATCATACCTGCCAATTGACTATTGGTGGAGTTCATCGTTCTAGACCCGTTGGTATCAACGGACACCAGTAACTACCTGCAGTCAAAGACTCGCGTGCGCTTCAGGTTACCGATAGGCAGAGTAATGTATTATTGCAATAAGGTAGCCAGGTCCACAATGTGGTGGTAAAACTCGATACTACAGAGCAAAGACAATAACATTTTTCACCACTCGGATCCTAGATTTATAAATGCAATTCTTTCTGTTCCGATACGTAATCCAGTTTTCAAAGATTTATACCAATAGCTGTTATTGCAGCCGCCAAGGTTGAGGGCTTGCTGCACCAAACGCAGTTCCTCTGCCTCAAGTATCTTAAAATTAGCGTGTGTCTGGTGGTCTTGCAATAGCAATTTGCATTTCGTGGTGTGAAACGCAGGCCAGGTAAAAGGACCACCATAGACAGCTTATCATAGTTTGGTAGATCATTTAGCCCGAACCATAAATTCCATATTCGCATCGTGATGCTTCACGGCGAAGTGTTCTACAGTGAATTCACCTATAAATTCAGATGATTATGGAGAAGTTTTACTGTCGTACTGAACGCGAATGTATGCCAAAGGAGCGATGATATTCGAATTCTTATTCAACCAGAAGCAAATGTATTGCAATTGGTTTGTTTGTTCGTTCATGGGAGCACTTTTTCATGTAATCATACTGAGCAGGAACTTGGGCTTGACTGAGTTGAACATGCTATTGAAATCGACTGTCACAGCCTTTGCCAACACGCTCCTTGAAGGGGTACTATGCCTCCGCTCATCTTCCGTTTTGAAAATAATGTAATACTGTGGTCCATTCAAATTTTTCATCAACGCAGAGAGTACAAAGTCAATATCAATTGCATTCTTCAACATTACTACTTCAAATGCATGCACATCACATGCGACAAGATTGGACCATGATGTGATGCGATCGTTTGCGTCCCTCCGGGGCTGAGTGGCAATTTCCAAGTGCCTTCAGAGCCATTGATATCAGTCAGGTCAATCCTCTTCGGAGGTTAGCGAGAGGTCGATGGCCATATTCCTTTAAAACTTAGCCATGAGAGACAACAATCTAACAGGTTTTCAGTTCACAGCTCGATTGGGTTAAAGCCCGAGCGCCACGCATTTTCTCTGACGCTGGGATAGAAGGTTCCGGTGCTCAATGGTTTGCTACCGCCCGCATCAAGCCACGCAGCCTCTGGCCATATTGGTGCACACACGCCAACGCCCACCTGCGGCTGGCAGTGGCCGTAGGTGTGTATCATAATGCGGTCCTAAAGCACGTGTGCTTTGTTCCAAAGCTCCAAAGGCTTTATATGACTGGCCTCACACAGATCCCAGTGTGTCTCTGCAGTCACACTACCGAGCAGGACTCGCCCCCCGTTACCGGAGCAAGTGGTTCCTGTTGGAGTCCCATAAGCGAACCTCCGCGTACCCTACTGCCTTGTTGGTCAAACTTTTAAGTCAACTGCTAAATGCAGAGCATCTCAAAAAAAAACATTCTCTCAGAATAGGCAGTCGGCGAGTTTCATTTGCCTTTACCATCCTGTCTAGAATATCCCTATTCTTCTTGTTGTTCTCTCCTCTATCTTCTTCCCGTTTATTGAGCAAGAAAACGTCTCTGACTTCCCAACTGCTAATATAGATAAATGTCGCTCGACCATCGAACCCAGTGTCTTAGTTCACATTGGTTCTTCCAACATTAGCATTTTGGGTCTGCTCAGTCAACCAGCAGAATTAGCTCTCAAGTTCCATTCTCTTGGTATTTATGTGTGCTTTGTCCCCGAAACATGTATACAATATAACAACTTTATGACGAAGCCCCGACTTCCCGGTTCGGAATCAGATGACCATGACTATACCTTCGTGTTTCTGGCAATACCAAGTCAATGACGTGTAGTATTTACGGTGTTAATATCACCCTCAGCAAATATCCTAATAGCATTCTACTCGACTGGATACCGGATAACAGCTGCATGTACGGTTTGATTTCCAACCTAGATTGGGATTAAGAAGCACTGTCTGAAGGTAAAGTACCTTTACATCTCCTCCGTTTATGCGCTTACTGATTTTTAGTTCCGAACGTATCAAAGGTACTTTCACTCACCCTCTTCCGACTCTCCTCCGTATATCGCAAAATACTGATATCTTGATTGCTCCTGTTGGTACTAATGGCTTTCGGACTCTGACTAACTACTAGGAGACCGCTTCGGGGTCGATGCACGTCAATGGGACAATGGGGATCAACTCCTGCAACTATGCACCCACTAGAATCTTTATATTATCAACATTCAAGCATAAACACCTGGTGCCCACCGAATTTCTTGATGACTTAATCAAAGTGGATCAGATTTTCATCAGCTATAGGTGGCACACATCAGTTTACGTTTTTCGTTCTATTTGGACTACCTACCTAACTTCGACCGTGCACTGGTTCATGCATGCACTCTTCTTACTAAAAGTATTGGCTAGCTTTAGCTTTCTACTTGTAAATTAAACTCTCAGTGTGCAGTTCAACGATATCCTAACGAGCTGGGCCACCAATTCTCAGTGCTGAAGAAGGTTGGTAAGTCGAACGTCGACTGGGGTCATCTCGAATATGCCATGAGTAATGCCGTTGATGCTTGCCGTGCACCCGACTTGAGATGTCGTAACTGTGAATAACCACTTAAGCATCGATCAGTGTGGAAACTGGTTACTATAGTTACCGAGTCTCAGTATTGTGCACAATGTTAATAGGTTTGTTTCTCCTTTCCTTTTAACAGTACGTACTGCAGTTCTCTTACATTTCGAGTAATCCATAAAGTACTCACTCTTACCTGTGGTGCAATTCGATTTGGGATGAGAAAAACTATAGTTTGTGGGATAAATCGCCTTGAATACGATATGAAATGATTCGTAAGAGGGTTCCGATTATGTGTTTCAAGTGCAAGGTATGCCGGAAGGTATTTTGTGACTTTAGCCTTCATTCACAATAGCAAAGCGTGGGCGGATTTAAGCAATGTTGCAAGTGAGTAGCCTGTGCACTGTCTCAAAATTCACCACCTCCTAATGCCGCATGAGTTTATACCCAGGATACTTGGTTGCCGCAGCTTCCAGTAATGAGCAACAGCTATGTTTGATGTCGGAGTACCCACCGTTTGTCTGGATTGCAATTTTAATCATAGTTTTTGTCATAGTTTGCATTACTTTGGCTTGGTGATCAAGCGTAATCCCAAATCATTATGTGTATGCTTCCACTATCAGATCTGGGTATCTCTATATGAAGAGTCTAACGCAAGAAGACACATGTAGTGAAGTATTGGAAGACAACAAGACGATAGCACTTCAGAGTATATTTTCAATAAACTTCAGTCTCCCTCATCACCTACATTGGTAGTCATCCTTCGGTCCTTCTTATTATCCACACAGTCAACCAGATTGCTGTAGTTTCACAACGCCTAACGAACTTTTCTATACTTCCACCTACTTTCAGACTTACGCGAAGCCTTCATCCTGTTTGATGTAAATCGAGACGGTCGGATTACTGCATCTGAACTTCAGTCAGTTCTCAATTTCCTCGGTATCCCCACCTCACCCTCCGAAGTCGTTCAAATGATCAGAGACGCCGATTGCGATGGTATGTACAGGAATACTGTACAACTTCGCCTTGTATACTGTTTATTAGACAAATAACTCTGCTTTAGCTGGCACATCATAATGACTGGATTGTCCATACGTTGCCACTGAATATCCTTTTAGTTTTCTTTGACACCTAAAATACCGAATGTTAACCCAATGTTTTAAAAGCACATGAAATTCGCTGAATTTGGAATGAATCGCGTTTCATGAGACTCATTGGAATAGATTGCTTTGTTATACACATCACATATCACCTTGTGCAATTTCTGTCTCCTCCTTTTATCAATGCACACCGTACCAACACAAGTATATACAACTTGCTGCAGCCGATGATGCTTTTGTTGCTGACAAAGTGTATTAGTTGCATTCACTGTTAACTCTAGTACTCGATAAATCATTCTGTCGAGGTTAACCACACGTGACGGTGCTCAGTCCTCTCCCATAACGATCGATAGCCAATTCGAGAATCTGGATCAAGTTGTCATAACTTTTCCACTTCACGACATACACGTAATGTCACTGAGCACTCGATGGTCTCTAACTGTCGAGATCTTATCATTCTTAGTGTTTACGCTTCATTGAGTTGATCAGGTTTCAAAAGATTTACTCGTATACGCACTCTTGACGGCTTTTTTGAAAGTGGCTTGTACGATATCACACCGCTGCGTGTCATTACGTGATGTAACAAACATGCTTTTCGTGAACTTATCTAAATGACTCGCATGGTTTTCGGAATGCCTACTTCAGGTCCATGAACCGTCCACCGTATGTTCTTGGCACCATCGAATGCTCTTGGGCATTGTATAATGAATTTGAGGTAACTTTTCCTGTTACATTTTTCTAACCTGCGGAGTACGTGATCTGTAACAACAACCGCATCACGATGTAAATCTGGCCGTAGAAAAAACGCCGTTGATGTATCAAAGGTTGTACAGTTTAGCTAGATCGCTATTCCGTTTTTTATCCGTCAGAATATTCATTAAATACACCAATCCGTGCTTATTTCTAAAACTGCGTCAGTTAGGAACGTTTTGTAATATAGCGCAGGTACGAAGCCAGTTCATAATGAAATAAATACTACAAGGTGACCGTAAAATGTGCCATAACTTGTCGGCTTTTACGATAAATCTGGAAATCTTTAAGCGCATAAGGGGAGAGTGAGGCGATGTCTTTTGTGGTTAGCTCTCGAGTCAACAATTTTGGGGTTAGATTGACCAACCGTTTGCATTCGGAAACAAAATTTGTAGATCTAAGACCGAGAAATGACTCCTCCACCTACCTATGAACTACTTAACTGTTGAATACCCGATCTTTGATAACTGCTTATATGTGACCTTGGATTTAACAGCGTCATGAGCCGTTTGAATAACTAAGCCAACTGGCTCTCCACAGGAGCTTTTAGCCCCTTGGGTTCCAACCCGTTGGTAGACCACATGACTGTATTTGGGAACCGCCTTGTTCCTCGCCGCCCAACTAGCGATCTCATCCCCCGGATAAATTCCTAGCGCAGCTACTCGCGTTAGCAAAAATCACTTCGCATACCGTGAGTTCTACAGCACCCGTTTGCGCCGCTGTAGAACCGAATGCTTTGTGCATCGAAATCTTTCATCTTCGATGCCGTACCAAGTGGCTAGTTTGCGGTACTAAGATTCACAGTCCTTGATATTAAGAACTCGATCGCATCTACATAAATGGGATGAGTGTCCCCAATTGGCTTATTATGTCGAGCCTTACAATCGTTACCGCTATTAATTCACACTATGCTATCTTCAAGCGAAAATAAGACAGACGGCATACCTTTTTAATAAAGATAACTTTGTTTCAAGCAGACAATTACCCCAGTTCTGTACACTGTGTACCCATACACACTCCTTCATGGTCTCCTTATATTCTCCGGCGTAACTCCCATTAAAACATGTTCTCAGCACATTTCAATACGCACAATGCGATAAACGTTAGATATCGAATTACCTGACTTTGACGACTCGCTAATACGAGCAAAAGCAGCGTATGCAGACTCCGTCGAATTGGTTAAAGTTATATCACTGTTCAGGCTGTACGTAAGGCTGTCACTCTTAGATTTTGATGCAGTACATTAACATGCTTCGTTCACCTCGACATCGCTTGCCTGTATAGTATCACTGTTTTGGGCTAACGATCAAGTGAATCTTCCTTCATCTATGGTTTTAACCGACGGAGATTTCAAGGAAAACCTGACCTATTCTTATTGTCAAGTCAGCTGCTATGATGTAGCTGCTCAAAAATATATTTATTATCTTAATCATGTATCTCTAGTTATGTGCAACCAGCAGTACCCACCATTTGGACCAATGCCTATTGTTTTTTACACACTGAGGTTGCATGGAAATAGTTGGTGAACCGTCGTGCCATCCTTTTGCAACCAATATCGTTTGCTACCATCCATGTTATATCCCATCGCGCTGTGACATATAGGCAGGCTGTTGCAGAGACTGCTCGAATACGCTGGGAACCCTGTACTAATTTAAGTCCTAGTCGGGACGCTTTTACCCAGTGAATGCTGTTTCTCCGAACCTTCGTTCATTCTATAAGTAGTGGGAAATGGGTTGACTTTAAGTAGCTGGGAATGATCAGATAAAGCTGCGTATAACCGCTGTTTATGCCTCTCTATGACATCAGCTCAGATTGCAGTTTGGATCTTAGGAAACATGTTTACATGTGGTCGATATATCGTCAATCAATACCGAAGTACACACTTTCATTTTTTCTGATATTTAATCATGCCAATCAGGCGAAAATACAAGCTGTGTGGTGACGATGAAAATGCCAGTATTTTATAATGATTATAATTGACTCCCTAAACCTCTATCGCTTTGCCCTAACCCAACACGGATGCCGTACAAGTGTTCCCTATAACACTTTCACGGTAAAACCAACAAACATTCCACACGAACAGTGTGTGAGAGACATTTTAACCAGTTGCTTGCATTGGTGACTTTTTAATTTATTGTCTCTGTTCACTGTAACGGCACATGTGAATCAATATCATGTGCTCATGTTAGTAAATAACTCTCACCAAGTTGTGGTGATTACTGCCGAAGAAACACTGATTCTTTAAAACTCATCTAGTCATACTTGCTTCCACTGTCCTACGCATGCCCTCAGCGTAAAACCAGTAGTTTTGCGCCAATATCCATACTGTTTTATTTTGTTGCCTTTTCACTTAGTTCAAGCATTATGTCATGCGGTTTGATTATTAGACGAAGGCCGATGCAGCTGAACTAGCCTCTTTTAATTTCCTTGTCCCAATAGAAACACAAGGGAAATCTGGGAAGGCAGTTCCGTCAATATGTTGATAATAGCATGAGAAACAGCCTGGTCTCAAAATCCGTGCTCCACTACCAATTATGCAGATATCTTATGGACCGAATGTAACACCTTTTTCTTTCAACTCCTCTCAACGCTGGTCTTATCCGCTAATTGTTCGTTGCTGACGTTTAACTGTCGTTAATCGCATGACCGTATCTAAACACAGTTAATTACTATTTGCTAATTACGCAACTCATTTTACCGTTATCTTTGCATATGTTGTGCGTTCAAATGGACCCATCTAATTCCTTCTTTCCACGACCAGTCCATCGTATAATTCGTATTTGTCCGTCGTCGCGTTGCAAAACATTTTTCCATGGTAATCTCCACATCGATTAAATGTGCAACCAATCCAAGCGTAAAGTGAAGTCGTCGCCAAAATGCTCCCACCTCACCTCTCACCCTTTTTTCGAGCTTGTCCAATACTCGGTTACCGTGTGCCTTAATTGTAATCAGACTCAAAAAGGTCGCAAGCTAGACGCATCTAAGAACTCCAAATCCCGACAATGGATCTCTAACCGCCTTTACACACATTAGCTTGCTCAGTTGAAACTTGGGCCAAACTGTAATTATTCGAGGTTTACAACTGAAACCGAACTCTATAGTGGGAGCTACCAAATCCTCGAGTATCAGAGCGTTTCACTGAAGACCTATTCTGGTATGTCACACCTTTCTACGGATCAGTAGACACCAGCGTATTAGTCTGGGTAACCCATCCTACACATAACACAAGACAACAACACAAGCACTCGGTAATACACTATGTTTGGTAGCACCGCGCCTACTACATTCTTGTTGCATAATATTGTTCTCTGTACCTTAAGCTCTTAACACACCATTTCAAATCAGGCTCAATATGTTTACTTGTTTTGTTTAACTGAATTTTTTTCAAAGCCAAACTCAAGAGATATTGGTTTTACGAGAATTTACAACAAGGAACTCAATTCGTCCAACTTAATGCTACACTGTATGAATTTAGCGGACGAACGATGAGTAATGTATGTGTTTCTATTTCCTAGTTTAGCTTCTTATTGTAGAGAAACCATGTAACGAATTTGTTTTAGGCCATCTGCACAACCGTGTTTTATTTGAAAATAATCTTTGGTCAGGTCGATTGCATTCTTCTGATGGTGTTTTGGGAAGGTTATCGAAAAACCCTTGAATAACATAACAGGGCAAGATATTGGTGAAGTGGGCTAACAACCCAGCACTCACATGAAATCACGAATAGTTGCGTGTGCGTGCACGAACATGCAATGTAGCTTTACACCTTACTGTGCTCTTCGGATAGTAATGCAAATCTTCGAGTACTAAGCTGCGCCAGAAATGGCCTGTTTGCTTACGATCATTTGTTATGCTATATGGATAAATAATCTGTGGTTCTCCCTCCATGTCCGTTGCTATCGTACCCTTCAAACTTTGCATGGCACAAGAGATATTGACTTTGTAAAAAACGTTTCACAAATGGCTAATAACTGTCTAATTACAGGGATGATTTTTAGACCACATAGAGTCATATTATCTATTTTCCACAGCTGGTGAACCAACTCCTATTCTGCCATGCAATCTCATCGCATCTCACAGCTAAGTTCGTTTCCGTTAATGCATATATTAGATATTCCTCCCCGTTGCTGGTTTCCGTTAGGCGTTTGCTTTTTTGTTCCATATTTCTGCCACTATAATTTTGCGGCCAAGATGCTTGGTGATTTACAACTTTCCTTCCTTTTTCAGGTAATGGAACTGTAGAATTTGATGAATTCTTACGCATGATGCGGCGGTACGCGCAGTCCCAACGACCAAAATCTCCTGACGAAGAATTGCGGGAGGCGTTTAATGTAAGGGAAATTGGGTATTGCTGCTTTGACACTATCAAGTATAAATATTTTAAGCATTCAATTCACGAAAGGTTTGTGTGCATCGTTGTCAGAATTGAAGGGTTATGTGGTGGTCCATACATCTAACTGGTACTCCAAATATTTCTAACAATGGAATACTGTCAACCGCCTCAAAAACACTGCGCTCCACGACTGGCTTCGAAGTTGCTTTTTCTCATCAGGCATAACAGGCATCGGATCCAAGACCTTTTGTGTTTCAGCCAACACCTCTACTTCTGAGCCACCGAGTCATGGCGAGCAACGCGCACCGCTGTGGTTTCGCTATCAGCATGTCTGCTGGGATGCCCTCCATCTCCGTTAACTAGACCAAAGGAATGCGAATTAGACGAAACAGGATGTGAGTTGTGGATTCGGAAGTCAGCAATACAACATATACCCGACAAGTTTAGACATATTGCACACCTAGAGCAGTTAAGTATGATTCCTTGACACTTTGCTCTTGTCGACCTTCGTTTATTCGTTTCAGTATTCAAGGACTACCATCATTCCGTGATGTAGATCCTAGCTAAAATAAGTAGCCTTAGAGTCAGGATTAGTAAGTTATTTTGTTTAGACCGGAATGATGCCCACGTAATCGCTATCAGTGGGAGCACCTATCCATTTTAGTGGTACTTGCGAATTCAAAGAAGCGATATCATAACTTTGATTTGGTACATTCACTTGATGAGAATTCGATGAAGATGATACTGTATCGCTTCAACAATCCTCTAGAATCAGTCCTTGTAGTAAACAGTACTCACCCTTACTCAGCGATTTGGAGTGGTATCAGATTCGACGCATTCTCTATGAAGCGACTGCTTAAGCACAGTTATACAACGCACTTGGTGCACACAACCAGGCCGTTGCGGGAATCAATCTTGCCAACCCAACATTACCTACTCGAAATTCGGCCCTCGGCTGACTGCCATATCTCCTACTCCATTGTTGTTACACGTGGTATGTCATTTCGTAGCTCTTGGGAACGAGTATTAACGCTTCTTACCTGTGAGAAAGAATGTGTACAGCATTCCTTATCTTCATGGGCTCACACAGCACTGACTTTCCATAGACTAGCTCATCAATCTAGTATTACTGTGTGTAACTTTGTACGAGTGGTACCGGATTCCGTCAGGTTTCTGCGCACGAGTTTCTGTCGTCTCATTATCCAGTTTCTCATTATTGGCTCTTTCAGTCAGTTATCTCACCCCTATAATTCGGGTGCCCACTAAAGTTGATACATCTGCTTACGCATAAACCAGCCCTTCGGGGTCGCTAGGAATCCTCACTTTATATCACTAAACAGGACTCACCAGATTTGCTGGATATGTGGTAGTCAGATTTGGTATTATCATCGATGACAAAAAATCGTAGCGTGCGAGTTTTTGCTGATGCTGTCAGCGATAGATGAGTGATCAGTGCTAATGCTGTGTGAAGAAGGTACAAATGTATTTTGTTTATCTTACTGTGATCTCCATTTTCTTGTCAAGGCTTAGTAACCGCCCAACTCATTTTGTTTATCTTTTCGTCAACCCGGGTGATTGCGATAGTCATGTGCTACCCGAGCCTGTTTCACCTGTATGTGTCGAACTTGATGTGCACTTAACCAAGTACCATTCGCGTGTATGAAACATGACAGCCGAGTCTATTGGACCCGCTTGTTGACACGCAGTAAAATATGATCCTAGGAAAGCCTGACAGACCACCGTTAGACATCGTCATTCTGTTACCGCTTAAACGGAGTTTTCTGCTCGGTACCAGTGTGCTGGACTCATAGGTTAACATTGTGAAGCTCATCTACAGTTGAAACAATTGTTTTTCGCAACCCGCCCTCTCACCATCTAACTACCATAATAGTCACGCTGAGTTCTGCCATTAGCCAACATCTTTCGGTAGCCATATCGATGTTGCTGTATTTTTGTTACCCGAACCCATTATGAAGGCGACAGTCACAAAGGCAGCTTTGGCGACATCACTCATGAAACCAATTTTGAAATAAGGGAACCGACACTAGGCAATGAGTAACACTGACACTGGTGGCGACTCAGGCAACTGTGTTTACTAGTTGATGATACACACCGATAGTGCTCTAAGTAAGGTTAGGACGCCATCGGTTGCCAGCTTTGGTGCGCAGCTGTTTTCTTGCCATAGAAAGACTTCGACAAGCCAAGCGAACCAGCATTTGTAGCAAACTGGGATGATAGCCTCGAAGACCAAGAAACATCAAAGAGTAATTGCTTTTATAGGTCAAAAGCAAACTCAAATGGTATGGTAATGATGGAAATATCCTATTCCTTCGCACCTAGATTCTTAGCAGCGATAAGGGTGGGTCCGTCAGTTGATGATTTTAAAACTAACCGGATTAATATCACTCACCATCTAGTTATCAAGTGCACTCCATCCATTCCGTTATTGCGGTCATTGGCTTTAGCGATTTGCACCGTCTTTAGGGCATTACACACAATCCTTTTTCAATGCTCTTGACATAATTCAAGTGCATCGTTCTGTCTTCTTCTTGCTCATTCTATTCAGTCTCATTCCCAGGCGGCCGGGACATGCATCTGTGCATTCCCATGCCCAGCTGTCTCGCAATTTGACCACGTGTAACCAGTTTTTCTGTTGTACATAATGGTCAGAAAACGCAATTGGTCCGTGTCTCGCAACGTCAAGAGATAAAGAATTTAGTTATTATTTGTTTCTTTGTAACTGACTTTAAAGGTGAAGTTGATTGTCCCACAAATGCACCAGTTTCGACAAGTGCCTGTAATACTTTCGGAAAGGCACGGTATTTCCTTTTTGTTTACTATCCTCCAGATCGCCCCAGGAACTCCTTTTTCTGGAAAATTTTGCATATCAGTTTTTTTAGTACAACGTCGAAGCGGGCTTGGGATCTTGAGCAATCTATAATTTGGCAAATACCCGGATAATCAATGTTCACGAATTTGTTCATAAACTTACCTTGAAGCGTTCCTGTCCCCAGTCTGCAAACTGTCTACTCCGCGTGACATGGATGAAACTATTGTAGTATGGAGGGACTCTTTATGTTCTAGCCTATAACAGCTTAACCAATCTATATACATCGGTTTGAGAAATACCGTCTTCAGACTGTTATTTTGACCTAGGTAGCCAAGAAAAGAGGCACTATGACTGGGCTATATTTCCGTAGTAAACTTTGCAATCTATTTCGATCTTCTGCTCTTTGTACGCCTTTTTTAAGAGTACAGTCCGCATAGCAGCATGCCTTTTCGCATGGGAACTAGAGTTTTTCAGTTGTCCCGTCTCGGCCACCTCCATGTCTAAATTTACCGATTCTGAGGTCATTGGCTAGCCTATGGCAAAGCCCAGCTCCTGCCTGGATAGTCTCGATGGTAACATGGTATGAAACTTACTAACAAAACATGCACTTACCTCAACTATTTCATCCATTGTCAGATTCTTTTTCTTTCCCAGGCTATTATACTTATTTGGAAACCTTTTTATTCTACGCGATGCGTGCTTTCGAAAACTGATCTAAATTACCAGCCGGCTCGATGATGGGAATTTTCACCCATCGCTTGAACTGATGCGGGTTGTTTATAAACTTATTTTTACGAGGTTCCTGACGTTTTATTCCTGATACCAGTGAATTGCACATGTAGATTGTAATTGTGAAGCTGACCCATGGCCGACACAGTTCTTACTTTTAATACCTTACTTTCCATAAGCTGCTTTTCCCCTGTTTGACTATCATTATTGTTATTGTTATTGCAATTCGTAATAATACCACGATTTTTCTTTAGGAATATTATTATTTGCTAAGTGCTTATCCAATATTCAGTAACTTTTACATTGAACTACCTGTGCTATGTGCAGTAGGCGTAATGGGAAAATGATGTTTATGTACCTTCAGTGGCTCACATACTCTTAGCGGAAACGTCTACTTCGCGTATTAGCTGTGGCCTTCACCTGACTGTAAAGCATCATTTGCGCTTTATTGGTAACTGCCCTCCTCTCTCTTATTCCTTGCGCATACTGCATTCTATTCAGGTCCATTTTGCATGATCCCATCGTTAGCTGTCCATCCTTGTTTTGGGTAATCCAAATTGCATTATCATACTTTGGATAACCCACCTTGTGCTTTTGATCACAACGCAATCTCCATCCTGGCATCGGTTGACTTTAAAGTCAGCATCTGCCATCCAGAGCACTGGGACCGCATCCGAAATGGAAGATTTCGGCGTCGCCCTCTTCCATCACTGCATCGCACGATGTGTTTCGTCTTTGTTTGGAATCATCAGGCAGAGATAGCCTGATCTGGAAAGGAACTCGGCACGATATGATTAGCGCTCATCGCTAATATCACTAGTTCATTGAGCCCCGCGAGAAGCGCTTGACATAACGGTTAGAAGTTAGTTATCGTGCTTTAAAGTACCTACCGCATGTCTTCGGTCGCCACACGCAATCTCAATCGTGGACACGGCCGGTGGCCGAGTGGTCTTCGCGTCTAGTTTGCAAGCGTAACGTCACCGGTTCGAATCCACGTAGGCGTGGACATGCTCGCGGGTTACTAAGCCCTCGCGCGACTAGTGGTGATCGCGTGGCAGCAAAACGCCGTTACGACGTACAGCTGGCGGTTATTGTTTACATGCCTGAATTTTAAGTGCTATTCCGATCACTAGAACTGTATTCGGCGTGGAGGGTCTCGGTGTTACATACAAGCTCGTTTTCTTTGTTTCATCGCAAGGCCAAATACACCACATTTAAGCTACGAAAGATTGAATTGGGTTACCAGAAAATGACGGTGCCGAAATGCCGGAAATTGATTGTGAATTATTCACACGGAAATTGTTCGGGTGACAAGTGGTCTTAGTAAAATCAAAGCATTGACGAACTGTTTACACACACGCACACGGGTACATCACACTGCGATTTCCAACTATCTCCACTCTTCTTGATAACACTGGAACCTTCTTTTAGGACTGGTA